CAAACAAACAAAAAACCCTAAAAAACCCAATCTTCTCCAGCCCAGATTCCCCATACAGTTTTCTTCTTCTGCCTGACTTTCAGGTCTTGTCTTGGATGTCAGTTCCCTCAGAAGCATTCTTGGTCCTCCCCCAAGCTTGCTTTTAGGCTCTTACGTTACTTTTTTGTAATTGCCCTTTGCTTTGTGAGTCTCTGCCCCAGACTGAATTCCCTGAGGGCAAGGCCTGGGTCTTATTCACCTTTCCATCTGTGGTAGAGCTTTTGGCTCTTAGTAGCTGTTCAGTAAAAGATAGACTAAAGAGTAACAACCTCCAAGGAGCCTCTGCCAAATCTTTCAGGCCACATGGATGTTTTTTCCCCTGACTCGTTGGGCCTATCCACCTCAACAATTGGTATGTTACACATGTAGGAGAAACCTTAAAAATCATCTAGCTATCTCCTTCCTCCTACCATTTTACAGATGGGATGATTGAAGCCCAATTATCAGGTATTTGCCAACAATCTCCATTTTATGTCTTCGGCCACAATTTTCCCCTGAACTCCAGACCCAAGCAGCTCTTCTGCATCCCCATATCTAGGACTCTGCACAGTGCCTGTGCCTGAACAGGTCCACAGCTGGCCTGAGCCCCGCTGTCAGGCCCGGTCCTCCTCCAGGCTTCCCCAACCTGGTGAAGAACACCAATGCTGGGGCCAAGATGTTGGGAGCTCCCCCGACCCCCGCCACCTCCCACAGCCTCCCACCGCCAAACAAACACCAAGGCCAGTCGTTTCACCCACCAAAATCACAAAATGTCTCCAAATGCTCTCTTGCCTGCTTGGTTTAAATAACCCACAGTTCTCAATGAGCCCCTGCAAAGGGAACCCATTCATTCATTCATTCATTCATTGAATTCATTAATTCAATTAATTCAATGAATGAAGTCATTAATTCCCTGGATCTGCTCGTTCCTTGTTCCAAACCACGCTCCTCACTGCAGCAAGAGTGATGTTTAAAAAATGTTTCTTTGTGGGGCACGTGGGTGGCTCAGTCAGTTGAGCATCCAACTCTCGACCTCAGCTCAGGTCTTGATCTCAGGATCTTAACCTCAGAGCTGTGAGTTCAAGCTCTGCCTTGGGCTCCACACTGGGTGTGGAGCTTACTTAAAAAAAAAAAAAAAAAAAGCTTCTTTATGATTTAACAACTTTATAGAAACACCTCCAATGGCTCTCTACTTTTTTTTTTTTAAAGATTTTATTTATTTATTTGACACAGAGAGAGAGAGATCACAAGTAGGCAGAGAGGCAGGCAGAGAGAGGGGGGAAGCAGGCTCTCCGCTGAGCAGAGAGCCCAATGTGGGGCTCGATCCCAGGACCCTGAGATCATGACCTGAACCGAAGGCAGAGGCTTAACCCATTGAGCCACCCAGGTGCCCCTGGCTCTCTACTTTAAAGAAAATTAAATAATTGTTATTAAAGCTAACACTTATGGAAAATTTATTATGTCCCATTCTAAGGACTTCATATACATTAACTCATTTAATCCTCACAACTATAAATATCCCCATGATACAGATGAGAAAACTGAGACTCAGAAGCACCTTTGGGGCTTTTTTGCATAAGCTTTTACCTTATCCTTACTCTGAGCTGGTTGATGGCTATTCAAACTTCAGATGAGGTGACTTAAGGAACATTCTAGCAGGCCCTCCTATGGCACATTTTCCAGTTTATAATTATGTATTATTTTGGTGTGGTGGTCATTTGATTGATGTCTGCCGTCCTAGTAGACTCTATTTATTTATTTAGAGAGGGGGGGGGAGGAGGAGAGGGAGAGAGAGAGAGAGAGAGAATCTTAAGCATGCTCCCACCCAGTGCTGAGCCCAACGTGGGGCTCAATCTCACAACCCTGATATGACCCGAGCTGAAAATCAAGGGTCAGATGCTTAACTGACTGAGCCACCCAGGCACACCCCCCCAATAGACTTTAAATTCTGTTTTGCTCATTGTTGTGTCCTCAGTATTTTTACACATAACAAACACTTGCTCAATATTTGTTAAATGGATCAGTGAGACAGGTTTTCAGTGGGAGAGTAGATGAAGGAAGATTCGTTTTAGAAGGATTTCTCTGGAGTGAAAGTTTGGAGATGTCCAGCCCTCTAAACCAAGTCACTGTCCCCAGATGGATTCAGGAGTGAGAGGAAGGCAGTGTGGATGAGGGTGGTGGCCATAGGGATGTGATACCAGTAAATGAACCTGGGGAATATTTAAGAGGTAGATTGGGCAGGCCCTGATAATTAACTAGATGGAGGTGAGGACAAGGGAGGTGTCAAAGGTGATTCTGAGGTTTCTGGCTTCAGCAACTGATAGGTTGAACACAGGTGAGGACCATCTGGGAGGAAAGAAGCAGGTTGGTTTGGCAGAGTAGGTGGCTGCTAGACCAAGTCAACTGAACCATGGAAAAGTTCTCAAAATCTTTGTGCCCAAACTCCTCTGTGTCCAAACTATACCTTGACCCTGGGTTAGTTGTCCAGCATCACCTCTAACAAACCCCAGACTCAGGACAGGCAGACCACTGCTCCTCCCCCACGCTCTGTTCTTCCTCACCTAGACTTGTAAGTGTTACCCCACGCCTTCACCCCTCCCTTAAACTCCACAAGACTCATTTCAAAGACTTATCCTTCTGCACCCCTCCTCTCTCCCTACACTCCTTCTTGTGGTTAACAGGTCCTTGACTGTTTCCAGGATTCACTGTGTCAGAAATGTTTCTCTCTTGTCTGCCCCAATGACTGTTTTTCTCAATGCTGAATCCCCAGCATCTGGGACAAAGCCTGGATGAAAGTTAACTTCAAAAAACTTTGTTTTATTGAATTCTTCCTAGACCTTGGCTTTCTTATATCAAGAGTGGAGGGCCAGGAGTCAGACTTTGAATCCTGATCCTGCCACTTAGAACTTGGCCAAGTTACTTCTCTCTAACCCTGTTTCCTCTAATGCCAAATGGAGCTGATAATGAAGTAGACCTATCCAGAAGAGTGACCTTGAGCAGTAAATGAAATGTTGTATGTTTAAATGTTTAGACAATGCCTGGAACATTGTTAGCTCCTTCAAAACTTTAGCTGCTATTTATTTTAAGAAAAAAATTCACATGAGGCGCCTGGCTGGCTCAGTCCGTGGAGCGGGCGACTCTTGATCTCGGGGTTGTAGTTTCCAGCCCCACTCTGGGTGCAGAGATTACTTAAAAATAAAATCTTAAAAAAAAAAAAAAATGCCGTCTTAAGATCGGAGAGCTGCAGGACCTGGAACCGAGGATTACAGTTCCCGGGATGGCCATACGAGGGAAGTGGTGAGCAGCCTCAGGGCGGACTCTGGCTCTGCTGTGCTGAGGCACCTGCTGGGGACCCAGATGGCTGGGCTGGGATTTCCGGGGCTTCCCGGCCCCTGAACAGGTGGGCGCTGGCCGGGGCGCTGTGGGAGGAGCCTCCACGGTATGCTCTGCCCTCTCACAGCCACTGCCAGTCCCTCCTGCTCGCCCCTTTCACCGCTTGAGGGGCCGATGAGCTAGAAGGGGCAGGAGAAGAGGACAGCTGGGATTCATCGTTTCCAGCTTGTCATATGTCTTTCAAACTTGAGTACGATCATTTCTTCTCTATATAAGTTTTTGCAGTCAAATTTATCGATGTTTTTCCTTTGACTTCTTGGTTTCATCATGCCTAGGTAAACCTTTCTATCTCCAGGACCATTAAAACATTCCCTCATGCTTTCTTCTAAAGTATATAAATATGCTTGTCACCTGGAATTTATTTTGGGGTAAGGACACAATTTTCTCTCATTTCCTCAGATGTCTTGCCAGTTATTTCACCCATTTACCTGAAGTGCCATCTTCATCATACACCGAATTCCTTTGTGTGGTTGGATCCAGCTCTCTTTTCCAATTTGTTCCACTGATTCGTGTAGTTCTGCTTCAATACCATGCTGCTTTAAATACATTGGCTTTATGTTTTCATATCAGGTAAGGCAGAATCTCTTTCCATTCCTTTTTCTCTAGATTTTTTTTTTTATTCCTGCACGTTTATTCTTCTATATACACTTAAGAATCAACCGTTCATCCAATCCTTTGTCCCTGGAGTCCCTGAAATTATATGCAAAGTGTACATTTGCACATTTGCCCGGAAGGAAGGCCCAAGTTTTCACCAAATCTGCAAAGGGACCATGATTCTAAAGGGAGCCCCTGGTGTCCATGTCTCTGTGATAGGGTGAATGGGAAGAGCACAAGGGAATCTTGATTCCTCCCTCCTCTCCCACATCCTCACAGGCTCTGCTCTGCCCATCCTTCACCTCCATCCTTCCAGCGATTTCCCTGCCCCCTATCTTGTCCTTCTAATTGAATCCCCCTTGCAGCTCCAGAGCAATCATCCTATGACACAGGCCTAGTTCTAGGCCTGATGTAGATTAGATGATAACAAACGTTTAATTAACAGTTGAATAAAATGGAGTCCTGGCTTCCCCTCTGGCCAGCTGTGGGACCCAGCTTCAGGGTCGCCACATTCTAGGGTCTGATAAAATCTTTTTCTTCAAAGCAGGAACTTGGGCAAGTGTTTTCTTCTCTCTCAGCATCAATTTTCCCACCTGTAAATTGAATTTGAGTTTGTAAGTCATTTCCCCTATCTCCCACCATTTGATTTTCTTGGATCTGGTCCAGGATGGAGTAGCTGGTGCCAGTGATGTCCTGCGAGGTGCCCCTAAGAGGAGGAAGGATGAAAAAGTACAGATAAAAATGGTAGCCGAGGGGGAAGCAGCCATGAGGCAAGAGTGTCCTAGGGGTGTGGAGAGGCTTGAGGCGTTCTCTAGACCCCAACCCTTCGGGGTCTTGTTAGCCTGGGTCCACTACAACCAGGCAAACCCAGACTCTCCCCATTCTCCTAGGTCCGCCCACCACCAGAGGCCCTACCCCCAGTGGCCCCGCCCCTCCACTGGCCCCACCCGCCTGGCCGAGGCCCCGCCCCCACCAGGCCCCGCCTCCCTCTTCGCCTCCCGCCGGCTGGGGTTTGGGCTTTGCACCCGGCGGCGGCTGAGAACCGTGGCGGCTGCGGAGCCGGCAGCGCAGCCGGGCGGAGCGGAGCTGCCCGGCCCGGTGGCGGGCGATGCCCCCGTGAGCCTCTTTCGCCGCCCCTCCCCGCCCCGCGCCCCTACCCCCTCGGAGTCCGCCGCCCGCCTGGGACCGGGCCGCGCCCACCGCCGGGTCCGCGGGGCGGGGTCCCGGGGCAGCACCTGCCCCGCCTTGTGGAGCCGCCTCGCCCAGCGGAGACCCCTCCCTGTCTGGACCCTGGCCCCACCTCCGGGTAAGTCAGTAGGCCTCGCTCGCCTGGGAGTGGACGTGGGGAGGGGGCTGCGGAGGTCTGGGGGACCACCGGGGGGGAGGGGGTTCCGGCCGTGAGGCGCCACGTAGGGATGTGAGCGTGCAGGGTTGGGGGGGGTGGGGGCTCAGATGATGAGCAGAGCCTATGTGATGGCTCAGGGTTGGGGGCTAAGGTATGAGAGGGGAACGTGGGGTGTTTGCGGAAGCCTGGAAAATGGGGTAGGGGACCCCAGAGTCTTGAGTTCTTTGCTGATTCTCAGAGCACCTGGGGCCCTGGTCTTCAACAGCATTGCCTCGCATGGCATTTTTGGAAAGTGCTTAAAATCTCTCCTGGAAAGGGAGCTGGAAGGCAGCCTGCTTTCTCCCTCCTGCCTGTGCCCTGGTTGAGAAGCAGGCACTCTTTCCTCCCAATGAAACACCACTGTGATGCCCAGAGGACACCCCCCTGCCAAGCCCATGAAATAAAAGGGGATCCATGAAATAAAAGTACTCACTCTAGTCCTAGGGTAGGCAGAGGGGGCTTTCAGGAAGCTGGGAAAGGCAACTGGTCAATGCACCATGGGGAGTCCAGGGTTCATGGAGGCTTGGCAGGACTCTTACTGGGGAACCTGGACACCCTTTCATTCAGGGGGAGTGTAGCTTTACTGGCTGACCTCCATGCTGCCTGCGCCCATACCCACATCACCTTCTCTGGACCACAAAGCCCAGAGAAGTGGGTTTCTTCCCAGTATCCTGGGCCTGTAAACCCAGGGAAAGCCCATAGCTCCTGTGGTCTTGAATGGAGTTGGCAATGCCATATCCAAGGCCAGAGAACAAGGGGTGCTGGCTGGCACTGCCTCTTTGGGTCTGGGGAGCCTGGGTGAATGTCGGTGTCCACCCCTAGCCCCAAGGGTCTTGTCTGGGTGTGGAGAGGAAGACCGATGCCCCTTTGGTCCTGTCCTCTGCCTATGATGCCTTTTTAAGTCTAGGGTCCTTGGGTTTGGGGCCTGAAGTGGCAGGGAGAGGGCCCTTCTGGGCTAGACCTGGTTATCAAGGGGTTAACTAGCCAGTCCCTGCCCCCCCCCCCCCACAGTTGCTGCCAGCCACCAATTAGTCTGTAATCAGGCAGCTGCCAACTGTCCCTGGGGGCATGCGGGCAGCCTAATGGGACATTCTCTGGTTGGGAGTGTGGGGGCTGGAATTGGGGAAGGGGACCATGAAATCTGTGCTTAAACCAAGCACTGTGCCCTTCTGAACCTGTTTAGGGCCCACAGAACCTCCTCCTGCCCTCAGCACTGGGGCTGCCAGGCTTAGGGACCTCCAGCCCTGGGGTTCAACACCTACTCAACGCTCTGCAGGGAATGAAGCCCAGAGTCAGGCAAACTTGACTTCATACCCAGGCTCTGCCACTTTCTGACTTTCTGGGTGTGTTCTATTGAGGGAATCACTTCCCCTCTAGGAGCCTCCTTCAGTAAAATAGACCCACCTTCCAGTTCTGCGGGGAGGAGTGATTGAAATGGTGGATCTGAGCTGCTTTGCACAGCGCCTGGCACTGCTGAACTCACCAGCAGCCCCCCTGCCAAGGACTTGATGGGACATGCAGGCAGAAGCCAGGTGCTGAGGACACAGACAGTGACCAGGTTCCCTTCCCTGGGGGCATATGGTTGTGGGCCAGGCACAGTCTCTGCCTTAACTCTCCTGTCTCCCTCCCTCCTTGCTCAGACATTTCTGGTCTTGGACATTAATTGGATTTTCCTCTGCAGAGCCTGGGGCCAAGCTGCTACTTTCTGGGCTCCCCCTATCCCTAACCAGGTGCTAAGCTCTGTGGGGTCTCTCAGGGGTCTGGGTGACATCCACAGCTGCCACAGCAGCTGGCCCTTTAAGGAGGGAAGAAAACAATTATCTGGCCTGGGCATTGCATCAGCTGGAGCCTGGAGGGTCCCTGGGGAAGGGGGGGCAGGCTGGTGGTTGATTTCATTAGTGCCATGTGAGAACTCTCACCCGAGTCTGCTGGCTCCCCAGCTGCAGCCTCCTCCCCCAGGCAGCTGCAGCCCTAGCCCCATTGCTTCCCCCTACCGCACCCCAAGAGCTCTACCTTGGAGGACTCCGTGTACCCCAGCCCACATCTTGGACCCTGGGCAGAGAGGGGTGGGGAAGTGTCTCTTGCACTGGCTTTTTGCTGACTTGGGGTGCAGGACTTTGCTGACAATGGGGGTGTCTCCCCTTAGTGTTTGGCTGACCAGTGTGCTTGGCGGGGGGTCTGTATTTCTCCTACGCTGGCATTTTGTTGACGCAGGGGAGGGATGCTTTCTACACGGGCCTCTCACTGACCACGGGGCTGCCTTCTGCACTAGGGTTTTGCTGACCTGACAGAGGAGCTGAGCTGCTCTGGGTGTGTGTGAACTGAAGGCACAGGTGAGAAACGATTGCTCCCTGGCCGGAAGTTCAGGGGCAAAGAGGACACCAGGTATGTGAGCATCAGGCAGACCTGGGTTCAAATCCTGAATTCTCCACTTCCAGGCTCTGGTTCCACTTCAGGCAACTGGTCTCAGACTCCTCTGGAAAACAGGCATAATTTACACTCCTACTGCTCCACCCCCATCAGGAAGGTACTGAGGGATCAGATGCAGTGACTGGATGTACACTGCTCCCTCCCCCATCTCTTCCCTTTGCAAGTTTGGGCTTCTCCCACCTTGGGCTCAAGGTACCTGAACAAGAAAAAGAGGATGAGGGGGGAATGGAGAGAAGGGGAGAAGGAGTGCAGGACCCTCCTGCCTCTGTTGCAAGGGGGATGCCTTCAGACACCCGGATGCACCAAGCTCTGTGAGCCACATGGCCCTGGCCCCATGGAGCCTGCATTCCAGCCCCATTCTAGCCTGGGATGGCCCAGGACAGCTAATGACACCAGTGTCACTGTGCTGAAAGGAAGGATTCAGGGAGCCTAGAGTTGAGGAGGCAAAGAAGCAGGGATTAGGAGAGGGAGCAGTGTGTGCTCAGGCCTGGGTGATGGTGGGAGGGGCGGGAGGGGGAGGGCAGCAGTGGAGGAGAGAGGGTAGAGAGTGTGCAGTGGCAGAGGCCAGACCTTCCTGGTCAGTAGGGTACTAAAGGCTTAGGAGTTCTCCTGAGGCCAAAGGCAGCCCCTAAAGGGCTTTAAGCTGAGAAGGCAGGGTTTCATTTCCAGAGAGCAGGGGCTCGGGTCTATGGCCCTGGCAGAGCCTTCTTGGGAGTGACCTTTTGCCCTTTCGCGCCCCCTTCCCTGGGTAGCAGCCCTGGTGCCCAGGGAGCTGGTTGTTTATGTGACTCGCCCCAGGAGGGCGGGGCCCAGTCCCTCCAGCTCCCTCTCTCTGGGCCTTGTTGACAAAGTTCACCCCTTGGGTCCAGATTCTCCCTACCTCCCCAGGGAGCCAGAGGGCAAGAGGCAGCGGTCTGGCACCAGGCTGGCCTGTGTTCACATCCCAGCTCTGTAGTTCTCGAGGCGGGTGACTTCTGGCAAGGCCCACCCCGTCTGTAGACTGGGTTGTCAACTGTAAAACAGAGTTGGTCTTATTTCTATGAGAAGGACAAAATGAAATTCCAGATGGAAATTACAAAACCCTATCTTGATGTCTGTTGGCATTTCTGCTCTGTCGCCTGGGGCTGACACCTCCTCCAGGCCAGGCCCGTGGGCTGGGTGGGGGCGGGGACAGGGCTGGTGTCACCAGTCTGTGGCTGCAGGAGCCCTGTGTTAGCAGGACCTCACGCTCTGTTTAGTGTTCTGCTGTCACCATCTTGAAATTCCTCATTTTGAACAAGGGTCCCACATTTTCATTTAGCACCGGGCCCTGCATATTATGTAGCCCCACAAATTGGGTGGGGGTAGGCAGGGAGAGACACAGACCTGCAAATAGTTCCCAAGTGGAGGAGGTACAAGGTGGAGGGCATGACTAACTGTCCCAAGGTGGGTGGGATGTTAATAATAGTAACATTTATTTAGTGCTTACTGTGTGCTAGGTTCTCCGCGAAGTGCTTTACATACTCACCGTCCAACAGATCCTAGGAGGTAGGTACTATTATTATTTCCGTTATATACATGACAGAAGTGAGGTTAAATTTCTTGGCCCAAGTCACACAGCCCTCAAGTAGCAGAACTGGGATTCAGACTTAGGTTGTTGGGCAGCAGAGTGCATGCTTGGACTTGGGGAAGTCTCCCCTAGGAGGAGGGGCTCCCTGAGCTGTATCTTCAGAGTAGGAAGAGGTGCTGGGGGAGAGGGAGGGAAAGTGTCTGTGCTGAGGCTGGAGGCTTGGCCAGGAGAGGCCAAGGCCTGAGGCCTCCTGGGGCTGAGGGAATGAACCTTTAGATTCCATGGTTCTAATTGCTCAAGTTCAGAGCTTCTGGTCACTCTGCCTCCAGGCCCTGCTGCCACCAGGATTCCCCCCTCCCAGTTGGTCCCCTCCCCCGTCCTCTCTTTAAACTGCCCACTCTTCCTCCACTGCCGGGTAATCTCATTATTCTCTGGACCCCAGTAGTCTCTGTCTCTCCTGGGCTCAGGCCCTGCAGGTCTAACTGCTTCCTGGGCCACATTCAGATGTCTCACAATCTGGGGTCCAAACCCAGGTCCCCAGGTCCCCAGCTCCGCCTGCCGGCACCTGCTCTGCCTCCAGCATCTCCAGCTCATCTCTGCTGCCACCATCCACCCACTTGCTCAAGCTGGAAAGCTGGAAGTTCTCCTGGACACCTCCCTCTCCCTCACCCCCACATCCCACAGCCGTCCTCAGCAAGTCGTGTTAGCTCTCCGTATCTCTCTCCCTGCCCTCCGCCCCTTTCCAGGCCACTGTCGGCTCCCAGCCTGGACCTCAGGGACAGCTTCCTGGAGTCGGCTCCTCCTGTTTCTGTTCTTGCCCTGCATTATTTCATTTTTCACACCGCAGCCAGCACGATCTTTGAAAGATAAACGTTTGATTGTATCATCTCCCTGTGTAAGACCCTTCCAAGTCTTCTTGGAACCAAAGCCAGACTCTGACGCA